ATTATATTTTATTTACTGACAACAGGAAACATGAATAAATGAGTAAAAGAATAAATAAAAGTAACCATGACAATAAATAAAGATCATAGTCACATGAAACAACGCTTTATTCAAACATATTGTTCTAAGAAAACATGCATTTACAGGCGGTGAACCCACATCCTACTGCATCTCAACATAGCGGAGACAGTTCTGCAGCTTTATTCTGATGAAGACCACGGTGTCCACCTTCACCGTCCATTATTGCTGCAGTCAGACTGAATCTGATCACGGATGAGAAGGGGACATCGAGGCTATCTTTGTCTGAGTGCACAGAGAGGATGAGGCCCCCCGTACCACACAATCTTGAAGCAAGAGCAGGAGAACATGTGTGGGACAATCTGGCTGCTGCGGTGTCTGCTCCAAACATTCGTGTGCCTGCTCTTCATGAGCACGACTACATTTACACAGAGTAAAACGTTTTCCAATTAATGTTGTCAGCATTTGATTCACTACTTTTGTGGTGTAGTGGGCTAAACCACTGAACTGGCAAGCAGAAGGTTGCTGGTTTGATCTCCGCAGTCGTCACCACCAGTGTGTCCTTCAGCAAGGCTCTTTACTCCAGGTGGCTGCTGGGGGATTGGGGTCCCTGTAATAAGAGCACTGTAAGTCACTTCGGATAAAAGTTTCTGATAAATGTAAATGTGATTTTTGTAGATCCTTTTTTTGTGTCTTGGGTACAAACGCTCAATAAAGCTGCTTATTTCTTAAAGTTTATTTCTTCAAGGTACTACTTTTTCTTTTTGGGGTAAAGGGTTAGTTCATCCAAACATATAAATCCAGTCATTATTTACCTGCCTCCACACTGTTCAATCCTTGGGGTATTTTTAATTTTTTTCCTGAACACAAAAGGGGATTTTAGTTAAGTTTGTCCTGCTGGTTTGTGTTCATACAATATCAGTCAATGGAGCCTGACTTTCAGAAGCTTCATTACATTATTTGATGATGCTTTTGAAGCTTATGAAACTCGGGCTCCATTGATGCTGTATGAGCAAGCCAGCAGGACAAACTTGACCAAACTCACATCCTCAGTGTCTTTTGGTCTTTCTCTAGATGTTCTCGCTGGCTCCGGGGTCACTGATGATGAAGAGACCACAGCAACATCCGGTCCTGATGAGACAGTAAGAGGTGGAGTGATGGAGCGTCTCATCCATGGCACTGGACCATTTCCAGGATGCTGCTGTGGACTCCTCCATCTTCACTGCTCACACCAGTCTGCGGACATTTCAGATCCTACAAAAATGCACAAACACAATACAAAAGCAGTCATTTTAACAGCACAATGTCAACTGAATTCTGTATTAGAAATAACAACATGATCTTACTTTTTTTTTTCTTTTCTTTTTTTTTTTTATTTTATTTTTTTACAAAGGCCGCCGTCACCCTGTCTTGCAGGCCCTGCTCCATCACAAAAGCTCTGCACACAAATCAAGAATCAGAAAAGTGCTGTAATATTGTTTGAAATAATATTAATTAACAGCATATGACATCAGTTTTCATTGGTTTCAGTAGTATACTCACTCAAAGCCTTTGATGGCTGCATTTCGTTTTCCGGTGAAGAGGGCCTCATTAGCCACTCTCCACCGGATAAGCACATGTGTGTGCTCATCTATCCCTGTAACATTCAAACAAGATTGTTACAAGTTACTTCTGTGATTTATGTTTTCAGCACTACACACAGGAAAAAAGTTCTTCAGTGGTTCTTTGGGTTGGTTCAGGTGCTAAATAGCAGTAAAATGGTTCCCCTATGATTACGAACCGGCAAACCACTTTTAGTGCTCTTTAGCACCATTTATTTTTAGAGAGTACATATAAATGTTGAGGCAGTTGCTGATGCGTTTTATCCAATAACATTTGCTACTTAATTTATCAACAGTACTAATAGACAAATACATTTGATAGCTTATTGATAACTTTAGTGTCATGAAGCCTTTAAAATAGTAAGGTTTTATTTACATGACAATTATTTACATTAGCAGTGTTGACAACAGTGAATTCTACTGCATGGCTAATAGCACACACACCACTGATGTCTATTTCATGTTGTGATGTTCTCTTCTGCAATACTTGTCGAAGATGTTTCTGTCAGATATTACATAAACATTTAGTAAATGTCTTTAACGATGTATATAATTAAGAACATATAAAATGCTAAAGTCATGCAATCACGACTTTAGAAGTGGGAATAATGACATTTACGATAGCGCGTGAATGCAGCAATCCACTTTGTAGACGCATGTGTGCTTACTGGAGCTCAGCAGTTTCTATAAATAACCACGTTTTTACATCAAAATCACAAATATACTATAATAGCTGTGCAAACACCTTCAACAGTTTACTTTACAGTAGTTAAAAAATGCCATTTTAACACAAGAAACCATGTTTTTGGTTTTTAATACTCACATTTGAAAACATCCTCGTTCTTCTCCATGTTCGATTAGACGCATCCTCTCTTCTTGGTTAACGTATCCTTTGCCATGGCATTGTGGGATAGAAAAATATCCCGCGATCGGCACTTCGGAGTCTGGACGGGACGCAGTAGGCCATCCGGGGATCTCTCGGCTACTCTATGAATACTGTGGTTTCGGACATACTACTCTTCTAACGTACCCATTTCACCTACTATATAGTAGGTAAGTAGGCATATTTGAACGATACTTAAGTATACGTACGCCCGAATCTCGCGAGAAATAGTGCTCCATCCAGGTAAATCTCACCTACTCTTTTGTGGATATTGAGATTTCATGCATATTTTTCCTTCGCCTACTGCTTTTTGCCTACTAAATAGTATGGAAGTATGCGGTTTCGAATGGAGCCTTTAACTCTAACCCTAATCAAACACACCTGAGCATACTAATCAATGTCTTCGGGATCATTAGAAAATCACAGGTAGCTGAGTTTGATCAGGGTTGAAGCTAAACTCTGCAGCGCATTGGCCCTCCAGGGCAAGATTTGAGGAACCCTGCTCTATCGTATTTCATCTCTATTTTAATAGCACAGTACACATTAGAGCTGCTCCATTGCAGCGGCTCAGTACTGTAATCGCAAGACGTTTTGTTGTAATAATGCGGGGAACCACTTGTTACACATACATCTTGTAACATTTTCTGAAATATAAGTTGCATTTTTTATCATCTGCAATGTGCTGTGGCTTATAAGTGACTCATATTATGCAATTAAACATCAAGCAAGCAAATTGGACTTTAAATTTTATTTCTCTGAAGGACATTAACTATAATGAGATTATATTAAATAGTCCCTTGTATTTTCTGAAAAAATGACAGTAACATGTGAACTATGTTCAGAACACTGAATGTGTTCCTATAGAACATTCTACCTCTGACCAGTTGATTTTTTTCTTTGTTTCTATTTATCTATAATTTGTGAATTTACCTTGTTCTTCTGCTTCCTTTTTATGTTAAAAGTACTGTTTATAACAGTTGTAGAGCAAAAAAACTGCTTAGTAAAAGAGTTTATTTAATGATTTTTAAAAAAGCTTTTCTGAAGGTAAGGCAAACTGTTCAAGTGTTTGTTACCAAATAATAGTGTATATTCACTTTGGCCCCATGCACCTCCAAACCGAACCGTACTGAAACCGTGACCCCAAAACCGCAATATGTAATGATCCATGCAAAACCTGAACCATTGCATCTCTACCTATATATATATATATATATATATATATATATATACACACACATATACATACATGGGTTGCAGAAGAGGCCTGGGCCTGGGCCCCGGGTTACTTTTGAGGTAGCCTATTATATAACAAATATACATAGTCTATAGGCTCATGTATGCACAATTAATAATTAAAAGATCGCAATCTCGATTCAAACACGTGTGATCTTATTCCTAAATGACGATTCCGCTATGTCTATTAAACCTTTGAAATTACAATCACATCGGTCATGTAAGCTTTATGTTTGAAACAGCTTCACAAACAGTCTACACCAGGGGGTCTCAAAGTCAACATTCAAAGGTCCAAATCTGAATTTTCAAAGGTCCGGATCGGAACAAATGGTTATTACGAAACTTGTTTTTAATAAGCATACACATCATGCATAACAAATAAACATTATTTTTTTGAAAGAAATAAAGTGCCCTTTGCATTCAAAATACATTAAAGGGGTGATATGATGCTGCTAAAAAGAACATTATTTTGTGTATTTAGTGTAATGAAATGTGTTTATGCGGTTTAAGGTTAAAAAAAACATTATTTTCCACATACTGTACATTATTGTTTCTCCTCTATGCCCCGCTTTTCTGAAACGCGTCGATTTTTACAAAGCTCATGGGTCTGAAAAAGCGAGGTGTGCTGTGATTGGCCAGTTATCCAGTGCATTGTGACTGGCCGAATTTCTCAAGCGTGTGACGGAAATGTTACGCCCCTCACCATACTGTGATGCCCTGTCCGGCCGGAGCGATGATTCAAAAACATGAAAACCCATTATAAACGAGGCATTCGTTGCATCCAGTGGGGACATAAAGGATTATAATGTCTTGTACGGTCTTTTTAGGCGTTGCATTGCGCCGCGTAAACATAAAACCATGTCTGCATTTGTGATCGGAGAAATTATAAACAACAAGCGCTATTCTACACTGCCCAAAAAACTTGCTTTAAATATATAAAATATAAAAACTCCTTAAATATATAAAACATACTTACAGTCTTTGAGTCAGAACAGCCGGAATTGTAGTCTACTCTACCAGGATCAGTAAACAGTCCTCCATAAAATGTGCTGCACACATCTGAATATTTGGGTTGAAGTGTTCTGGAACAGTGTTGTAAATACAACTTAACCACTGATTTCTAGTCGTGTCCATTTTTGGAAGGCCAAACAAAGTAGTTTCTCTTTCACAACGAAACAGCGTCACACACGGCGGCCTTGAGTGAGCAGAGGCCGGGGGATAAAGTGAGGAATGGCCGGCAGGCTGAGTGAGCAGAGGAGCATTCGACGAAGGAGGCTTGCGGCAACTCCGGGCTGGACTCTGCTTCGTCCACGGTGAAAACCAATCCGGCAATCCACAGCGCAAAGTTGTTGTATTTCCTCAGCAACCAGCACGGATCAGCTCTAGGTATGACAAAGCAGATATAGTCCTCCTTTGGAAGGCCAAACAAAGTAGTTTCTCTTTCACAACGAATCACACAGCGCATTCACAACATGGCGGCAGCAACAATACTACAGCCAGAATAAAAGTTACGCCTTCTTTCTTTGCGTGAACATTTGGGCGGCGTTATGCAAATCTTCCCACATAGTGACATAGATATGTGGGGGCGTGTTAGAACGAACCGTTTTAGGTAGGTGTGGTTGACTCTGAACTTTTATAAAGAATATCTCTTTGGATTTGAGACTTTAGTCATTGCAAATTTACAGATCTTTATGCACCAAGAGCTTGTAACACTCCAAAGAGAAAAAAAAAAAAAAAATGTAAATCATATCATATGACCCTTTTAATAACAAGTGCAAAAGTGGCAAAACAATTAATTTAAGAGTCAGCAATAGAGGTCGACTGACAAGGGTTTTTCTCTAGCCGATGCAGATATTTAGAAATCAGGGCAGCCGATGGCCGATATATGATGCTGATTTTTTGGCCGATTTTTTTTTTTTTACCCCTTTATCTCATAAAGAGTTTGAGTAAATGATTATTGCAGGGCACAAGATGATAATAGTAGCAGCCTAATTCATAGTAATACATGGATCAAAACTTAAGCACCTTCTCAAAACAGTTCTGAAGCATGATTTGTTTGTTGACAGACAGTGTTTCCCACAGACTTGTAAATGCAAGCTACTTTATCAGGCATAAAAGGAAAGACGAAATGAAAGTGACCGAGGCAAAGACAGAGGGGCAGTTTTAACATTAAGAGAAATGACATCTGACGCACAGTTCCGGTTTTCAGTGGCATGTGTCACTAAAACCTGTGACACAATGTCCTGCTGCGCCTGAAGCACGCCCATTGGGTTTTAGGTGTTATACAGTGTTTATCCATTACCCGTTTAGTGACCTGCCTACTTGCTCGTTTAAAAAAAAAAAAAAAATAAAAAAAAAAAAACACCTTTAAGACCTACACAAATACACTTCATACTGTGTGACCAGGGTAGGTTTTCACAAAAATAGTTTTATAAAACTATAAACTTCACATTTTAGTCTTTAAATCATATTTTAGGAAAAAAAAAAAAAAGAATGAGTCAAAAGTATCAAGTACATTAGTCATCAGTACTACATAAAAAAAAAAAAAAAAAATTTGAATCTGGGGTTTTTTTTTTTTTTTTTTTTTTTTTAAAAAA